CTTTTGTTATTTTCTGCAGTTCCGATTTGCAATTGGCAATAGCTCTTCAGCAACAGGAATTCGAGCAACAGCAGCAACAACAGAAATCGCAACCCAATAACTCACAGCAACCTTCGACAAGTAGTGCTTCGAGCCTCGTCACTGGTCCCCAGGTAGTTAACTCCCCTTGAAGTCTTTGATATTGCTATCTATATTCATGATAAATGAAGGACTTAGATGAAAATCCTACACAAACTTAAGGAAGATTGATATCACCTTTTCGTGTTACTTTCTCGTGGATGTTAGCTATCTTGGTCTGAAATTCCGAAAATCCATCTATTGAATGTTGACTTGTGTATAGAGCCGGAAAGAAGTGTTTTCTTGCTGTGTTCGTAACGATTTTCTTCGAGCTTAATAATAGTTCTGAAGTCAACATCTTTGCAGGTATCACAGAAAAACGGGAAGTACACGCAGCAGCAGCCGAAATCCAACAAAGACAAGTGCATTATCATGTAACTAGTTATTTGCATACAGGCTCCATAAATTGGATTAATGTATGTAAAGTTATAATTATTTCTGTGTCCAGATTGTCACTTGTGCCAAATCATAGTGCCATGTTTTCTAATACTAATTACAGAAACTTTTTTTTTACTTTTTTTTTTCTTTCTGTAAATAGGAAACACTTTTCCCTTTTTTTTGTTTTTTTTTTTGTTTTTTTCCTTTTTGTTGTACATCTTTCAACTCTTATTTAATAACAGTTGGTTTCACATTTTAGTGAAAAAAATACAGCATTCATATATAGTTTTTGTTACATGTTCTTCGTTTCTTGTTCAGAACCACGTGAAGAACCTGCGAAAAACACTAATTCACCTCATAAGTCATAACAATGAAATAACAACACACTTTCATAAAGGAATTTTTCCAATGATTCAAATCAATACATAATACCTGCTTCATAGCAAAATACATTCTAAAGCATGTGTTTTACCTGAAATCAAACACACACAAAAAAAAGAAACCCTATAACAAACCTTGTTGAACTAGTTCTTTTTGGTCCTTACACAAAAATGGGTGACTTCTTTTCATTACATATACAACAGAGACAAAAATCCTGGCAAACTTCCCAAACAACCTCATTCAAGAAAAAAAACCTATTCCTACCTGTAAAAAAACACCTCTTCTCAGTCAGAAATCCGGCTCGTCGGGCTTAAACAGCTTCGGCATCCTCAAGCTCGACTCCCCTCCCTCCACGAACCTAACCTTCCCGCCGCCACCCGCACCTTTCTTCGTATTAGCCGCAAATTTTGAAGCCAAAAGAGTCCCCATCAAGCTTCTCTCCGAAAGATCCTCGTCATCATCCTCGTCATCATCATCATCCGACGAGACCCGATTAATCATCATCGACATGCTCTCGTGCCTGAGCAGCTCCTCCGCCGCCCTCCGCCTCCTGTGCCTCCTCCACGCCGCCTGCACAATACACGCGCCCCAAGTCCTCCACTGGTGCGAATAATATCTAAACGCGTGCTGCAAAGTCTTACTATGCAGCCGCTTGAACTGATTCGCGAAGAACCTCAGGTCATCCGCCAGCAAGGCAAACGCCTCGACTTCCGTGAGGCACCGGACTGTCCGCGTGGACGCCGGCCGGTTGAGGTTCGACGATGCCGTCACGAGTAGGGCCCACGTGAGGAGCTCCTCCCCGCAAAAATCCCCCGGTTTTAGAGTGATCGAGTTGTAGAATCCCGACCGGCCACCGTCGGTGGTCGAGCTCTCGAGCTGGCCGCGGATGACGAAGAGCATCTCGTTAACCGGGTCGCCTTCTCGAATGACGTACGTGCCTTTCGTGTTGAGGGACGGGACCAAACGCTCGCATATCGCGTCGAGAAGTTGCTCGTCCATTTGCGAGAAGAATGGGACCTACAAAAAAAAAACCCCCAAAATCATGAAGAAACAAAACGAAAAATAAATAAAAAACGGTAAATCAAGAGAGGAAGAGCTTACACGACGAACGAGATCAAGACAAAGATGCTTTTGAATCTCACGGCGTAAGTCGAGAGGAAGAGCTTGGAGAATGTCTTCTTCTTTAACTCCTCGTGTCGAGAGCCAATTGTACTGCACGAATCGGCGAACGCGGTCTTGAAGTTCGGGGGGAAGTTGCCGATGTCTCATCCATTCCTCGGTGTCTCTTCTCCTCACACGCCATTCTTCGAGTCTTGCAGTCGTAGATTGTAGATAGGTCTGTGAAAGAATACGAGTCACTTTTTTTGCCTTACATTTAAAATCGAAAATAGTGATATATACGTATACCTGCACGTTGCCGATGAGAAGAGCGAAGAAAACGAGTCCCATGAGACATATCAGAATACCAAAGACAGTCTCGACTACATAAGCACTTGCAGAGAGACTCTGTCCGTACGAGCTACAATTTTTCAAGTAAAGATTTATATATAAGCACATTTTAGTGAATTTTTGTGAGTAAGCTAATTAACCAATCTTACCTTAGACTTCTCAAACCGAACCACAAACAATAGAAATATTTCTCGATCAAATTCGCCGAAGGAACTTCGTCGTTAAGTGCATCGGCAAACAGCCCGAAATCGAAATTGTTGCCTTTTCCATCACATCCGTTGAAGACCTCGGTGTTGTTATACCACCTCTCGTATTCAGGGCCCGACGAGTCACAGTCGAGATACCTTATCCTGCAAGTAACGGCGCCCCTTTCATGCCTGCATTCGTGCTTCCAACACGAAAAGATTCGCTCCACGGACATCAAGTACCACACGGATCCCAAAACCTACCGAGATAAACAAAGAAAACAGAGTAAAAAACGAACCTTTCGCGGAAAAATATAATCGAGGGAAGTTGAGATATATCTTTACATGACTTGCTAACAAGTAGAGAATAAGGTTGTATGCTGCTCCGGTCCATGCGGTTTTTGCCACGACACCCGTGTTCTTTATGATCCGCCAGTTGAGAGGGAATATGACGATGAGCCGCGGGATGTATTGAAGGATGATGAGTAAGGAAATGGCGTGATTCACGTTTGTGCTCGTGTTCGACTTCGTAAATGGCATAACTCCCCATGCTACACACTGTCGAAACAAAACTATGGATTTGTTATTTCAAGCATTAACGAACTCGTTACTGTTTTGTTTTAAAAGGGGTGTAACGAGCCGAGCTCCGCTCGAGCACTTATCGAGTCAGTAATTAAGGTCGAGTTTGACTCATTTATCAATATTATTACACATTAGTAAGCCGAACTCGAGCTTTAATGATTCGAATTATAAAAAATTACATGAAAAATCATCTTTTTCGAGAATAACTAAACGGGCTAGAGCTTTGCTCATTTATCAAACGTGCCGAGCTCATGAACGGCTCGTCTCATTTAACAGCGCTAGACTTTTACTTAATTGGAAATTTGGATTTTTCTTTAGAATTTAATAATTCTTTTAGTGCGGTTGGCGTTTTGACTATCACGTGTCAGTTTCCAAAAAAAAAAAGCTAAAAAATTTGCACCTACTTGGGGTAGGGGAAGGGCGGCGGCAAGATCGATGGCGAAATCGCCCTTCAAATATCGGACGGCGATTTTGTAGGGGTCCTTGACAAGGTCGCCCCTTCCGAAGACTCTGGAGGTGGGCGCCACATAGGCAGTGCGGAATTTAATGATGATGTGGAGTGCGGAGAAGAGGTCAATGATGGTGCGGGTGGTGACGAGGACCCCGGCCCACGCGAAGTCCATGGTGAGGCAATGTCGGTCGACTCGGAAGCCGAGAAGGTAGAAGAAGAGAGGGTCCACGAAAAGGGCGACGAGGGACGTGACGAAGAAAACGCGGTTCCACCGGTTGACGAGGTGGCTGCTTGGGTCGAGTATTTGGTGCCACCACTCACGGTGACGGTCCCGGAGGAGGGACGTCGGGTGGGTGAGTGGGGTGAGGTGGAGCTTTAGGCTATGCATTGGGAATTGAGAGAGAGAGAGATGGAGAGAGAGAGAGGGAGGGAGGAGGGAGAGAGGGAGAGAGAGGGAGGGAGAGAGAGAGAGATTGTGGTGGGGAATGGAGGAAGAAGAAGAAGAAAGCGGTGAGCCAGAGGGATTTTTGTGGTGATCTAAGAGAGAAATATATAGGATTTGGGTTTGGCCGTTAAGTTAGTTGCAAGGGGCGCCACGTTTTGGGCACTTACGAATTTGTGCATTTGAATAATATTATTTATATATATAATATGCATTAGGTGATGTGATTTGTTTTAGGATAATTTTGCAATTATTATTAATTAGTTTATGTGGTGGGGAAATATATTTAGACAATAATGAATTTCATTCAAACTAATATATTGTTATATAAGGACAACTTGATATTGTTTAAGCGTTGTTTATCGAATATTATTCAATGTCTCTTTAGGCTTTCAATTTATATATATTTTACTTTCCAGAATTAATTAGATAAGATGACATGGTAGAATATTTTCGACAATGTGATATTCGCGCGTCTGACCTTCTTTGATCTGCAATATGGAGCTTAGATGTTCTTTTTAGAAAACGTCATTCTTAAAAAAATTGGACAAACTCTCATCTAGAATAGCGTTTTTGAGAACGACCTTATAAAAAATTTAATAATGTTTTTTTTTTTAAAAAAAAAAAGATCATAAAAATTATGTTTATAGAAAATGTCATTCCTCTTGAACAAAAATGGAAGTAATCACGTCCTCCTTCCAAAGAAAATGAGTCCTGAATGATATAGTCTTGTTACCTGCAGATTAAAAACCTAATTTAATTACATTTTTCTTAACTACAACCAACATATTTAAGACCAAAATATGTAGAGATGAATAGTTGGGAGGTTCTTCATTTATTAATTTACTCATATCACAAGCTTAATTTTATATCAAGTTAGCCAAAGTTGGTCTTGTGTTATGTTGTTCATTCTTATTATTAAAAACATCCTTTTTACAAACACATATAGTTTTATTAGACAATATCATACAAATAAAGACATGTATGACGGATTGACATGCTAAAAAAGAATCCCTTTTACTTAAAATGTTCAAGTAATTTCTTTGGGTAATCCAAGAAGGTAAAATAAGTAAATAAGTAAAAACTTCATTAATCACACATACATTAATTTTCTGAAATCTAAATATGAATATTGTAGCGTGTATGTAACTGAGTAAGGAGTCATACTTGATCTTGATAACATAAGATAAGGCATAGAAATATAGAATACAAGATTTTGAAATTGACTTCAAGTGCTGATCCATATGCAAATGAAATGTCTTTATCAATAGGTCTGATTATATTAAAGCAATCAATATATATACCTAATTCTATCCTTGATAAGTTAGTTTGATTTTGGCATCTAAGCATCTCCAATAATTAATTGAATAGATTATCTCAAATGGTGAAGTTAAGATAACTCCAATTTCGAATCCTACCAAAAAGTAAATATGAAGATAATGGACATAATTCTATTTGGATCAAGTACTTATTACACTACAAGAAAAATATAATGTTTCCTTTTGAAAATATGCTAATCTATTAAAAAAATATGGCTATCTAACTGTTACAAAAAAAAAAAATTGTGCTAAAATTTAGGTAAACGACAAATTTATTTAGGTAAAACTATAGAATATAAGGGAAACTACAAAATTATCCATTAACTTTTACAATCTCAAAAAATACCTGCTAGCTCATGAAAAAGGAGCAAAATATGCTTAAAATGACAAAAATATCCAACAACTCACATGTTTGGATAAAATCTTCACGATTTTGATTAATTAGAGTGCGATTGATTATGAATTTAATTTATTGATATGTTTTGTTAACTATAATTAATTTTGAAAAATATATTTAAGGTTAAATTAAAATAATATTTAAAATAAAATAATTAAAATTGATTTGACGTAAAAATATGAAAAAAAATGATTGAAAATGATGACTAGTTAAAATTATATGAATACATGAATAGTGAATCAAAATTGATGTGATGTAATGTTTAGTTGATATTATTTAATTATATTAATAATATTGAAGATAATGAAACTTAATTAAAATTAAGTTAAATTTAATTTTTTAATTAATTCTTTACTGATCAAGTTTATATATAATCACACGTGGACATTTTCCGCAACTATAAAAGTTGTTGAATAACATTGTCATCTACTCCAAGTTACAATTACATAACATATTTCACAATTTTGCCATTTATTTATTACAACCCATTTTGTTGCCAACCTTTTTACTTGCATCCACTTGCTGTACTTCAACAAAAAATAAAGTTAAATAGTTAAATTGTACCTAAATGAACGTTATAACAGCTGCAATAACATCTGAATATCTGATTACTCCTAATACATACATCATAAATTATTTTTTCAACACAAACGGGACATACTCCAAATCAATTCAGGCAATGTCAGCATTTTATTTTATTTTTCAAAATACATATTTTCCCACATATTATCGTCACACTTACATAAGCTGGAAAAGCTTTGGGTCAATTATATTCATTATTTATTGGAATTTGAGGCTATTGATATATCTTTTTCAATAATATCTTTACTTGAATTGTCTCTGTCCTTCAATATCTTTATTTACCATCCTCTTTAGGCAAATATTCTGCAGCTCTTTTCTCATTTCCATTTTAATCATGTATTTTTTCCTCTGCCACAAGAGATTTTAAAAAGCAAATTATTAGGTTCNTTTTAATTTAAAATGTCATATTGTTTTCCACAATTTATTGTTATTGTACATATATGAATCTTTTGCTTTGCTTTGTTTGTGTAAACTGTCAGCGTATCTGATGCGTAGGAACAGAAAGTTTTGTGTCAGGATTTATTTTATAGATAATAGAGTTAATTAAATGAGGAAATATGAATGAGTAACAAATAAAATAAAATAAAACTATACAGGTAGATATATGTATACATTTAAATATTTATTATAAGAGACTTTTGATTTCTATTTTCAATTAATCAACAAATACAATTGTGGTTTCAGATCATCGATCATCAGTGTGCTTATTCTCGATTAATTGAACACCACTCAATCTTTTAATTAATGAGAAAAACAAAATGAGGATATAACTGAAAATAAAATTTAGATTTGTAAGTTAACATATATAACGTTAATTTGGAGTCTTTGGACTGCTTTACACAAGATTTTATATATTATAAAATTGTTTTAGAAAAATGATACATTGTCAACCTAGTGTTTTATCTTATGTCATTTTAGTTCTAACACAAACTGATTTCAACATAATGTATATTAAATTTTGTTGTAAGAATCAATTTTCACTATCATACATTTGTTTGACAAATAAATACATTTTCTTGTAAAATAATTTTAAATTAAATAAACACTCTACATTAGTTTCAAGAGGTGAACGTATACTTTTATTAAAAAATAACCTATAACGCGACACTTGACCCTCCTTACACACTTATATAAGGAGTGATTCAAATAAAAACTAGTTTTGGTATGCGAACATGTATTTGATGCTATTTATGATGCTATTTTTAATATTAAATTGTGCTATTATTTTCATAAATGTTAATATAAATTGTATTTATTTTTTAAAAAATATATTCTGGTTAAAAATAACACCAAAACACAAATAATTATTGGACTATGTACAATTAAAAATAGCGATTCACACAGTTCTTAAAACTTAGTTTTCATTTGAACTCACATATTATATATACACATGCACATCATAAGAAATAAATAATAAATTGCTAAACAATATCTATATATCTTAGACTGAGATACACTTACACATCAAATTATGAGTATACATACACATCAATATAGCAATAAATATAAACTCATCAAATAAATAATACCACTAAATTAATAAACCCCTAAATATCTATTATATTACAATATCCTAATATAAATATNATTAGACCTATCCACCCATATAATTTGGGTGGTCTCTATATATCTAAACATATATAATATATAGACAAATAATTGTGTAACATCTAAAACCAAAACTAAAACCCCTTTTCCTTTTCCAAAGTGGTCCTCACCTCATCACTTCAAAACTTCAACCTCACCTTTTTCCTTTTTCCTCTTTCCTTCAAACAATAAACAAAACCAATTTTCCCTCTCTTCATATATATATATATATATATACATACAACATTTTCACACACACACACACACACACATATATAAGATTGTATGTATATATGGAGGAGCAAGGATTAGGCATGATGGGCTCGGGCAGCCGAATAAATGACGTGGCAGTGTCGGGCGAGATGAGCCACCGGATTAAGGCGGAGATCGTCACCCACCCGATGTACGAGCAGCTTTTGTCTGCACACGTGGCGTGCCTACGTGTCGCCACGCCCATAGACCAGCTGCCGCTCATCGACGCCCAGCTGGCGCAATCTCACCACGTCATGCGGTCTTACGCTCAGACTGCGGCGGCTCTTTCGATTCCGCCGCATGAAAGGCAAGAGCTCGACAATTTTTTGGTACGCACACTTGTATTTTTTATTTATTTTTTTAATTAGGGGTAACAATGGTTGATTAACACAAAAATAATTAAATAACTTTTATTCATCTTTCTTAAGACTTTCAAATTAATAAGACATTAATCAATTTAAATTATAAATATAGTTCTTAAAATTTAATAACCTTTTTATTTGTTATTATTCTTTTCCGTACATAATATACCAAATTAACATAATCTTCAGTTTGACATCATATATAATATATATCTATTCTTATAAATATAAATTATATAAAATAGTAATGCAAGTTTTATGTACGTACTTAATATTTTAATGTAAGAAAATTTTAATTTAATTTTATGTTTTATTTTTTAAGTATATTAAGCGTTGAAGTTTTTTTTGTGAAACAGGGACAATACTTGTTAGTTTTATGCTCGTTTAGAGATCAGCTGCAGCAACATGTGAGGGTCCATGCTGTTGAAGCTGTCATGGCCTGCCGTGAAATTGAACACAATTTACAATCTCTCACAGGTAATATTAATAACCAACAAAACCAAATAAATAAATAATTAATTAATTATATAGACAAAATTGCAAAATATAACCACAAGTTTGAGCAGATGTCAAATTTCGAAATCGCATAAAATGCTCACTACCTAATTAACACTGAATTCTTGGTCATATTTTACATTCCTATATACACTTAGTCCAAGATCTTTTTGTGATTGTCCTTGTATTTGTCTCAATTTGCACAATTAGGAAAATTTTGCTGGTGATTAGCACTAATTAAATTGTGTTTATAGAGTACAAGAAAAGAAAAAAGAAGCTTATACATGATAATATTATATATTAGTAATATAATAGTATTATTTAATTAGTAATTTATAAATCAGTGGGACTCTCATCACATATTTGTAGCATCACCTGACAATGACTTCCCATCAATTGTTGAACAAAAACGTAGGTGAATAAAATCCACCAACAATTACTTAAAAAATAAAACTATTTAATATATTTCAAACAGAAAATTAAAAAAATTGTTGATATTGTTGAGCATGACCAAACGTGCTTGCAGTTAGACAATCGTATTTTTTAAAAATAAAATACATATTTATAGTTTTATTCTATTATAAACTATCATATTTTTGTCTATATTATATTTTATTATATTATATTTTTAATATAGAACACATGAGTGTCGAAGTATATATATTTATTGAAAAAACATGAATGACTAACAATGACAATCTAACACCGATCAATTAATTTCGAATTTTTAATTCTATTTTAGTTCATAATTAAGTTATTATTAATTAGAAATAAATGAATTTTATGGTTGGGAAGGAGGATATGAAAGCGATTTTGGGGTTTCGTTTTCGAGATGGTCTAACCGAACAACAAGTGGTGGGTGTGGTGGGGCCCATCAGTGGCTTAGATTAATGGAGTTAGGAGAGCTTTTAATTAGTTAGGTTGGGCTATGGATTAAATGTCAATTTTCTTTAATTTGATGGTGCAAAGAGCTATTTATGCTTCTATTGTGAGTGCCTAATTTTACATCTAAGTTGGATGCATCTCAAAAACACAAATTATATCATGTCTAATCGTTAGGCGGGTCGACATGTTATACATTTTTTACAAAATATTTACATATTCAACGAAATGTCATACTTTAAATTATGAATTTTTTTTTTTAAATATGACACTTCGATTTGAAAATATGCATATCAATTAAAAAAGTATGACTCTAACTGTTAGGTCAACCTAAAAAGCAGCCTTATTATAAAAAAAATAATCCAAAAATGTTATATTACGAAAAGTACAATATGGAGACTTAACTGTTAGGAGATCGACTTGTCATACATTTTTAACAAAAAATGTATAATTATGTCATTAAAGGTCGTACTTCTGCTTCTCTTGATTTTGAAGTATGACATTTCAATTAAAAATGTGCATATTTGTTGAAAAATTATAATTGTGTAATAGTTAAATCTAGCTAACAACATTCTACACTAAGAAACTTATATGGAGACTAGTAACATACTAGTAACAGACTAAAGTCTACTACAAGAAATTAAGGAAACTATACATAGCTAGATACCATAAGCTCCGTCTTTCCAAGTAGTTCAAAAATTTCTACATTTAAGAATTTTTCAGATACACAAAAAACAACCTGATGAAAAAATCTTTGACAAGAATCAGGTAATTTGTTCTGCATGTTCTTTAAAGTAGTTGTCTTTATGTAATGTACCCTTAATATTGGTTGATGCTATAACCGGCCAACGATCGGGAGAAATTTAGACGTGTTGATTTCTGCACGATTAGGGGCAACATTGGGCGAAGGAAGTGGCGGAACAATGTCGGATGATGAAGACGAGCTTCAAATGGATTTCTCGTTGGACCAATCGGGAGCAGACGGGCAGGACCTCATGGGATTCGGCCCTCTGCTTCCGACCGAATCCGAGAGGTCTTTAATGGATCGAGTGAGGCAAGAACTCAAGATCGAGCTCAAACAGGTCCAAAACATAACAAAATACAATGAAACATAGCATTTAGAAATAAAATCGAGCATGTTGAGACGCGATTTCGNAGGGATTCAAGTCGAGAATCGAGGATGTAAGAGAGGAGATATTGAGAAAACGAAGGGCGGGAAAACTACCGGGGGACACGACCACCGTGCTAAAAAACTGGTGGCAGCAGCACGCCAAGTGGCCTTATCCAACCGTACGTCTCGTCTCTTTCCCTTCTTGTAACATTTATGAAAAAATTAGAGATTAGTCATGTAACTGAGTTGATTTTCAAAAAGAAATTGACGTTTGGTCCTTTCACCGGCAAAAACCAATCAATTTGACCGGCTGCTGAGTTGTATATGTTAGTCGGTTGCCACGTGTACGAAAAAAAAAAATAAAATAATATCCACGTCAACAGTCGATCTGACAACCAACTTTTGCAGTGGAAGGATCAAAAGCAAGGATTTTTTGTAGAGGGTATTTCAATTAAGTATCAATTACAGGACTAAATTTCTGATTTTTCCTAACATTGTTGAACTTTGTTACGAACATATCGTAATTTACATATACAAATGTACGTGTTATTTGTTATTTTGTGCAGGAGGACGACAAGGCAAAGCTGGTCGAGCAAACGGGTTTGCAGCTGAAGCAAATCAACAATTGGTTCATCAACCAGAGGAAGAGAAACTGGCACACCAACTCGCAATCGGCTTCATCCCTAAAGTCCAAGCGCAAGAGATAGGCCGACTCCAAATAAATGTGTCTCGACCGACCAAAATCCTATGCGTTACGAATGTGATTAGGATATAGCATCTGGTTTCCGAACCAAAGATACTTACATCGTGAAGCCAATGGGGAGCTAATGGGATAGGATTTTATAAGCGTATAATGTTGCTAGATTTTGAAATATTTTACCTTTTTAATTTTTGCAAATTGAGGCTTGTATCTAGGTTATAATGATGTACTACCTTTCAATGCAACACCACATTTACTTGAATTGCAATTTAAGGATAGTTTTTAATGTTGAAATATTTTACCTTTTTAATTTTTGCAAATTGAGGCTTGTATCTAGGTTGTATATGAAGATATATATTTTTGTATGTGGCTTGTACAAAAAATAATTAAAAATATCAATTCCAACTCATTTATTATACCAAATAGCAAATAGAAATCTGACGGCCACATTTTAAGGCATCGATGGACTCGGCCGAAAGTTGCGGCAAATATATTCCGTTCATGAAGACTCTAAGATTTATGATATGAGGTAGAAGAGATAGGGTTTAAGTTGGTGAATTTTAGGAGCTTATGAGCTAAAGTTACAATTTGAATCTCTTGTTCTCATTGATGAGGTGGGCTATAAGAAAATATAATAAATCATCTAGGTAGAAGATATAATAATTCATTTATAAACACTAGGTAAAAAATAAAAAATTATTAAATTTTTACTTACA